GGACACTCTCGTTACTACAAAGATTTGTTGGATTTGTATTATTAGAGCTTTCCGACTTGAGTTCACGTGCATTTTCTCAGTCGGGAAATTATTTTTCACGTACGGTGCCGGTGATTATGCTTCTTACGTCCGTTTCGGAGAACCAGAGGACAAATATTTCAATCGATCGCTCAGGCATGGCACCGAAATGAGGCACCGAAATCTGCGTTCTGATTCGGTTCTAGTACATACCGGTTACATGGGTACCGGTGCCATATTGGTACCAGGTTTCGGTACCCAACCCTACGCAGTATGTGTCGATTTTAAAGGCAAGCTCGAACAAACATACACAACAATGGCGGAGTATATGGTACTGTTGTTGCTGCTCAAGAGTTTGCTAGCGCTACTTCAGCAAAGTGTGTATTTACTTCACCAATATTACAACCAACAGTGGAGACGCATCATACACATCATGTAATCGTCATTTCCTTACAGGTACTGTTTACTAACAAGGTGACAGCGCCAACTATTGGCCTGGCATACGTAATACAGCGTTTTTGGCCGTTTTCGCGGGTATGTGTAAACGCGAATCGTTTTGAAAACATTGTCGTGTATACATGAAACTTTTTAAAAATGCAAGGGAAAAACTTTCCGTTTTTGACTACACCGTTGTCATGTAAACGTAGCCTTAAACAGACGATCCATTGACTATTGTTATTTTTAAACTAATGAAAAAGCTTGAAGACCCCTTTCATAGAGACTTAAGGTAGGTTTTTTTGACTCAAGCTGAACTCCCTGGCAACTGCATAGCAACATGCCCTGGAGTTTTACTTGGGCAAGCACTAGATAGAGTTTTGGTAAAGTTTTTCACAGGTTCAAAACGATCTTTATGTAGGGGTAACCAGTGAACTCATGGCAGACATCCTCACTAATGCAAACCAGATGTTGTCCGTGATAGATAGTTCCCTTCCCCCTACTGCTGTAATGTAAACAGTCCTGCCACACCCATGGAAACACTCAAGAGCTCCTGGAATTCTTGCAGTCAGACGATGCATGTGGTCCTGATCAGTGTGTTTCTGCTTCAGCTCGCAGCCATTCGGAGAACTAAATCTGCTTCTTTCTGTAAATAGAAGAAGATTAAATATAGCAGGCAGTTCTAGCGGTTCACTTTGCTGTGTTGACTGTATGGCTCCGATGTTGTGTAGTTTGGAAAAGTTTATTTTAAAGAGTTTCTACTGTGACTGGAAATTATGCTAAACTCTGAAGGAAAGTGAAACTGGTGAGTACAGTTGCACGTGCTTTTTAACAGTTGTCTTTTTTTGTCGTATCGCATATACCTCTGTGGACGTTGTTGCACTATTCGAACTGTTTTCATGCGTTTGCTATCATGTACTTGTAAAAACTAGTCAAAACACTTTTGACTGAATTTATTTATCATCTTCAAGATATTTAACGTCTAAAGGTTTATTCTCAGTTTTTTTTATGTATTTAGCATATAGTGATTGAAAACTGTATACTAGTTCATTTCTAATGCTAGATGCTGTAAGAACTAAAGATTTATTTTAAATGCTTGAAATTAGTTTTGTAGATTAATAGAATATGGTCATGCAGAATATGTGCTTTATAAGTACTAATAAACAGCCAATATGTTAATAATAGTGACAATTGGTCCCTATACTATAGTGTATTTTTGACAAAGAAAATCAAATCAAATTTTTTTACAAATTTTTACTAAATATAAGTGTAAAACACACCATTGTTACTTGAATGAAATGTTACATAAAATAAAATATTAAAAGGTCAACTTATTTTATTTCATATAGTTAACAAGATAACAATAAATATAAATAATTAAAAACTATACAGATATTTAAAAACAACAAAAACTAATAGAAGTTGCAACAACTTTAACTAAAATTAACATGAAAGCATAAAATATAAACAAAATCAAATTTAAAACATGAACAAAATCCAGGGCTCGACATTAACGCTTGTCACAAGAGGATTTTGTGAAGGGGCAAGTGAAAGAGAATTTTACTTGCCCGACCGGACAAGTAACCCATTTAAAACGTCATTAACAAACAATAACTAGTGCAGCGCCAAAACTTTGGCGACAATGATTCTGATTTTATTACTTTCAGTGTAAATGGTGACTGATAGCAGATAATGTATTGACAGTATCAAGGTCGCGTCAGTTGAGGCTCACGCAGCCTGTGTGACCCGCGGAGAAATCAGAACTAATAAGCGCAACAGCACAAAGAAACAAACACGAACAAACATACTGTAGTAGAAAAAAAAGATAAATATTCTATATAAAATAGGTAAGCAACATCACACGACCAAGAGTTATGTTTTTCCGACTATCAGCACGATTGCAAATGTGACATTTATTTGATGCGCATCCTCGAGCAACACATAATAGTGTTTCGTTACTGAATGATTTAGCATTTTTGAACGAATCGGGTGAGTCAATGATTCAGTGAGCCATTCATGAAGACAGTCACTTGCTTCATTTATTGAATGAATCAGCCATTTGAACGAATCTGTTGAATCAGTGACTCACTCGTTAAGACCTACCGCCACCTACTGGTACTTTGGTTTCATATTTAAAAGTATCATTGCATTTTTCCAACATTTCATATTTGTATGTTAAAAAAAGTAAAACATTAATCTTATAACATTATTTATGCATTTGCAATTTTACTGTGTAAATGCATTTATGGAACCTCTTATCTTCATGAAACAGTCTGAGTAAATACATCTAAATGGCACTTTCGATGCAGCTTCAGTGTTTCCTCTGCAGTGGAAAGATGGAGTTTGTTGATACTGATTTAATTTGAATGGTAACAGCCATACAGTGTCTTATTATTCTAACAATGTATGTACGTAAATGATGACACGTACATTCAATAAGGTCAGGAAAATATTGTCCTTCACAAAGTTAAAAAGTGTCCTAGAAATCAATTTAAGGCAAATATCACAAATATGCTGATTAAAGTAAGACCTGATAGAGCACTGATGAGACAATTGCTTCAGAATAAATTACATTTATGCCAAAAAAAAAGAAGCTTTTTTCCCCCAGACAAGTTACTTTTTTACTCGGGCAAGCGAATGTCTGATTTACTTGTCCGAAGGACAAGCGCATGTCAAGGTTTAATGTCGAGCCCTGAAAATCTATTATAGTGTCTCAATGATAAATTAAATTAATCTTAAATTGTGTGCATACGTGCTTTGTATGCCTTTGCAAACAGAATGTAGAGTGCTTTCTGAATCATGCACTTTTGTCTTTTCTGTTACAGTACAGACATCTATGAAGAGGCTGTAGTTGTGTGTCATATTTGGATTAAACGTCTGGAAATTGTGAGCCATTCCTCCCCAACGCCCTTCACATGTCATGAGCATGGCCAGAGAAGGACTTCGTGTTTCATAGCTACTTGTCCGAAGGACAAGCGCATGTCAAGGCTTAATGTCGAGCCCTGAAAATCTATTATAGTGTCTCAATGTCTTAAATTAATCTTAAATTGTGTGCATACGTGCTTTGTATGCCTTTGCAAACA